ATGACTTGAGCATGTTGTTTGGAAACAATAAAGATTTTGTTATAAATACCAACCATGATGGAGCCAGGAATAAAGAAACAAGTAGTGAACAATATCATTCCCCAAACTTTGTTGAAAGTGAGTGCACAGAAGTTGAACCAGGCAACAAGAATCTCGTAGCTCTGCATACCAGCAACATTGGCCTCAGATAGAACTAAATCAAAACTGAAAAGAGCTGGGACAGACCAGCCAAATGCAAGCAATCGCTTTATCATGGAGGCTGTCATTGTGGTTGCATAATGTAAATGGTAACACACAGTGTAAAATCGATCGACAGCAATGGAACAGAGGTGGAAAATGGAAGTCAGTCTCAGTATCATGTCAAAACTTGCATGGAATTTACAAAAGCCATCCCCAAAATACCAACAGCTCTCCACTGATAGCACCATGCTGTAGGGCATGATGACAAAACCTAGCAAAAATTCCATGGTTGCCATGGAGAGGATCAGAAAGTTTGTGGGAGAGTGAAGCTGTTTGAAATGCAATATCGACATCATGATAACCAAGTTCCCTAAGATGGTGATAACCATGGCTCCAGTCCTAATAGAGTACATTAGCACTCGCACATGAAACACACAATTGGTGGGAGGACAGGATTTATTTCCAAATTTTGTATAGCTGGATAAGTCTTCAGGAATATAAGTTAGATCCATGGTGCTTTATCACTCCATATTCTGTTCCAAAAAGATCAGTCAATATTTCTTCTCTTCTGAATATGATTTCAGCAAATGTCAGATCCTAATAGTAAAATACAGTTCAAAGCCATCTGTTATTAATTCACTTCATTTGTGACTTATTCAAATATTTAAAATTATATCAACAGTGTTTGCTTTCTGTGTGTTTCTGAATTAGAAAAATGAAAAATTTCAACTGCTTATTCTTTCCTATATTATTCTATTCCATTCATTCATCCATTCATTCAACATACAATTAACTGCTCCATTCCTATAATGTATTGAAAATTTTTCGAGTTTTGACTTGGCTTTCACCTTGAGCAACCATTTTCCTAGAAACTCTTGAACTATAATAATCTGATGTAACATACACATGCACACACGCACAAAGTCTAAATGAAGTCACAAAGTTTTTCACCATTCACTCCTTCAGTAATTTGAATTCATTTGCAAAAAGTTTACAGATGTTTTAGAAATGAGAAATGGCACATTGCTGTTGAATTATGTTTTACTATGAGATACAGTTTTTCAACATGGCTGTTGAAAGCCATATACTTGTGGGCTAAACCATGTACCAGGGTCATGTTAATTTCTTCTCTATTTTCTACTCCTCCTCTCTTCTTCTGACCCTTTCATTCTCCTTCCTGTATTTCTTGAGTCACACAGCTTATCTAAGATTCTAATTAGTCGATCAATATTCCATACTTCATCCTTAAGAGACCCAGGAAGGCTACAAATTTTGTGCTCAATCACTTAAAACTCATGTGACTCCTGTTGGTCACAGTAGGCTGAATGAGAGAGTATATTTGTATAATCTACATTTTCAATACATTACTGTACCTGATTTATTATTTATTTTGAGATATACATCAATTACCCTGAAAAACCATTCACTCATAGGATTTAGAAAGGCTTCACACTGCTTATAACAAGCATCCAATCTATTTAGTATATTCTCACAGACCATATAATTTCCATTGGAATGTATATTTAGCAAGTTTATCTATTTAGGCAGATTCAGTTTAGTTCTCCCTTTAAGATCCTAAGAAAGAGCACAAAAAGATCCGCTGCTGATGTCTGTGTTTTAGAGACTCTTGAAAATGTTTTTCTTTCCTGGCTGAGGGATGGAAAAAGGAACCATCTTGTGACAAACAAACCATAGAAGCCTGTGTGATATCAGTTAGAAAAGTTTCTCATTTCCCAGTTACAGGCAGGTATGTGTTTGAAAAGCCTTCGGAGGATGTCTTTTCTAGATGACTGCTCCACGTGACTCTGGTGTGCTCCAGAGCAGGGCTGGCGAACCAATGGCATGCGTTTTTGTGTTTTTCTTTTAAGACAAAAGATGTTAATGTATGGGTTGTTTTTTCTAAACTAAAACCTCAGTATTCAGGGTTAATTGCAGGGTTGGTACTTTGTGATAAATAAGTGGGTTTTGGGTTGCAGTTTGGACACTCATCTCTAAAAGGTTCACCATCACTGCTCTAGTGTAAGGATTTCCTTCACTGATTTCCAAAGAGCAAGTAGCAAAAGAGTTGGGAGTTTTGCTTCTAGTCCAAATCCTGGTGGTGGTCAGGTATGAGCTCTTCATGACCTGACATGTGATAGCTAAATGTGCCTTGCATACACTTCCAGCTCTAAAAATCTACAAATCATTGGTAACCCAAAAGTTACTTGTTTTCAATCCATTTCTTTTCAATAAGTAGAAAATAGAAGAGGGAAAAAAAAGATGAAAGAGAATTATGGAATGAAGTTTGTGGCTGAAGCTAAAGTACTATGGTTTGGGTATAAAATGTCCCCCCACATTCTCACTCTGGGAGGTGGGCCTGCTGGGAAGGGGTGGCTCACAGGGACTGAGACTGGCACTGGGAAGATGTGTTCTGTTCCCAGGCTCCTCCCTGCTGTCTCTGTTTCCTGGCCGCCATGTAGTGAACAACTTTCTTCTACCATGTTGCTCTGCCGTACAATTCCTGCCTTGGACCCAACTGACAGTGGACTAAACCCACTGAAATTGGAAGGCAAAATAAACCCATCCTCCAGTAAATTGTGGGTGTCAGACATAGGAAAAAAAAATTGTTCCAGACACAGGAAAATAAAAGGATTTATTAATGTACTTTCAATCCCGGGACAGGTATCTTCAATATTAAAGGTGTGTTTCTTTCCAGTACAGAGTTTCCTCTGCTCCTCCCTGCTGCTCTTTCTTCTTTGGTATTCACCAATGAAAGACTTTGAGCATCTAGCCTAGATTATGTTTTAGCATAAAAGTGGTAGCACTCAAAAAATAACTGTTGCCTGTAGTATCTGTGTTAAAATAAATATTGAGTCATATCTCACTTTTTCTTACCTTTAGTTCCTAAAATAAACTGACAACCAATAAAACAACAGCGAAAAAGAAAAGTAGTTACAGGTTAGTGCTAAGAGTAGACACTAGATAGGTATCTTTAATGACTATATAAGTATATGGGAAATTATGGTTGTTTTAAAAAATATATGCATTGTTGCAATAAAAGCAATTGGTTCAATATGCTTGTAAGTTTGCTGTAAATGAATGGAGCACTTTCAGTATTGCTGAAACTATATTCTTATTTCCAAATGACTGATTTGCAAGTGAATTTTTATTTCATAACTTGTTTATAACTACCATTGCTCTTGCCCTCCTCTTTTGCTTTCTCTCATAAGAATTATGGCACCTACTTCAATTTTGCTCCAAAACAAAAAAATCTTCTCTTTAATCAATTATGTTGAACCAGATAGTCCCCTATGAAATTGCTATTTTTTAAATAGAAAATATTCAAACAGTAATAATTATAAATAATTTCACCCTGAGATCATTTCTTTCTTCCCCTCAAGTTTTATTTTCAAGTTCTAAATGAGAAGATTGGCCTATATCCAGATGCCTACATTTGCAAAAAGTCAGATTTGCAACTTGAAATCATATCATGGAGTTAAAGCCTGTTGAAAATTTTTGATAGGAAGAACATTATCATTTTGGTAGAAGGCAGAAGTGACCTCACAGGAAACTCTGGGTGCAGAATCTCAAATCTAATTTTCATAGCCTTAAAGTATCAATGTAGAGGCAGCACAGTGGCACACACCTGTAATCCCAGAACACAGGAGGCTGAGGCAGGAGGGTTGCCTTGAGTTCAAGGCCAGCCTGGACATAGTGAGACCCTGTTTCAAAAAAAAAAACACCCTCAAAAATAAAAAATAAAAAAATAAAATATCAATGTAATATAAGCTATAGTTGACAGTGAAAAACCTATGATCCTTTGTTCTAACAGAGGAGACAAATATTTGTGTATGTTATCTGTAAGGTATCAAATAATACAAATATCATTGCAAGGAAATAATGATATTTTAGCCTCTATAGATCATAGGTTCTTCTGAGTGCCTGCTTATGGTATTGCAGATAATAGAGACTTTACAAAACCAGAACTAATTTTAGGACCAACACTAACAGTTATTGATCCATTTCTTCTATTGCCACACTTTAGAAAACAATACCAATTTTTATATATCTAATTAAAAATTGATCTTAAAGTACAAACTTTCAAATGTAAACTCTAATTTTAAGTCTAAAATCATTCTTAGTGCAAAAGTAAATTTTAACAAGAAAGGAGATTTGTGTTAATTCCACTTGAATTTGTTAAAGTGAAGACAACAGAGTAACAGTACAATTTCATTAGTAATTTCATAATTTGCCCTATATTTTACTATAAAAGTGTAAATTATATATGGAGTATAATAGAAAATGCAAAGATTTGTCATTTATGAAAATTCATGATATTGGATATTTTCTGCTTAATTAATATCTAAAAGACTATTTGAAAAGCATTTCAGAGTTAACAATAAATAAATTGTACTCAAATGTACCACTGAAACTAAGATAGACAGAAGAAAATATTTCTTCTATAAACTTAAAGATAGTTTATACTTCATTACAGCAAAAAGGCATCTGGCATTTAAATAACTGATTTATTCCAAATGACTGGTAATTCACAAGTAAGCCTTATAAAAACATATGGTAGTTGGCAATGGACAGAGACATTAATAATGTCTTAATAATGTTGTCTTCTTAAAAGCAGCTTAAGAAATAGAAAAAAATCTTTTTAGTGACAGTAAACAGAACAGATAAAGCAACTTCTATTTCAGAGAGCAGGGAAAGCAAGGTGAGTAAGAGCTCAAATCAAAGCATATTTGTTGTAATAGTGAAGGGAAATTCTCTATTAAGTATCAGAGAATGTGGCAGAGAACTAAAAGAGAATCATCTTTTAGCAGGATATCACTTTGCGTGGTAGATAAAGGGAGAGAAATCTTGCCACGGCTGGAAGGTCAGATCGCGGCCTTGCACGTGTGCTGGGTGTCCGCCTCGGCCTCTGCGTGGGAAACCTGGCGTCGCCTCTGCTCCCCTCAGTCCCCAGCACCCGGCCACCTTTAGCCATGTAGTTTCTCTGCTGCCCTGTGAGCTCCGTGACTTGGACAACTCC